CGCTAACAGCATGGATGCCCATGGTCGAACCCATTCGTTCAACCGCATCCCATTCGACATCGCTCAAATGGGAGTAGCCGTCACGCGTAGCGTGAAAGCTTTGGTCATCTTCATCATCCAACATATTCATGTTGGATGTGAACGCGGTCCTTGGACGGACTACGAAGTGCTACCAGGTGTAACGGGGCACCCTGAAGCTTGTACTGGTGACAGTACAAGCTACTTATTCTGATAACAGAATAAGGCGGTGCCTCGTAACTTCACGTACACTCGTACGTGCAGAGGAAGACGGTAAGAAGAAGCGAGTACTTGGTTAGAGTAAAAAGTGGAACTGTATTTATAATAGTTAATGTCTGCAATAAATCACTATTTATCTTCATCTAACTATGTCTAAATACAAATGTGTAAATCAGTTATCTGCTCACCACTCATTGCGTGCGTCTGTCGTGGCGCGTCTTCGTTGGTTGATATAATGGCCTATATCAACCAATTAGGAACTACTTGGAAGTGCTACAGAATATTGTCCTTATGACAATATTCTGAGAATATAACTCTTATAGTTATATTCTATTAACAATTTCTTATAAATTGTTATGTAACGATTCACCCCGTTACATCAACCGTATTTCATCATCTTCATCTGACACCATCCCTACTCTGTCGTCACATTCCCAGTCATGTGATGACAAGCATGAATAATCAAGAGAAGTAGCAGCCGCAGTATCTGATGCTCTTAATGGAGCCTTAACAATCTTTGAGTCGTGGAAGTGCTCACCTCCTCTCCCGGTGCACTGGTACAAGACCCTGGAAGAGGCGACACTGCGATCTCATATGCAAACGATAAATGGTTTGCTCTCATTGTTAAACGGACTTTGGAGTGGGTACACCGCGCATACTAAGGAAGCTTTTATCAGATGTGCCTAAGATGATTTGCCTTGTAGCGGAGCTACCACAGCTCTAAGTCAGAGGAAGACTTTATGGGTTAAGCCAGATGCTTACAGATAACCGCCAATTAGTTCTATGGAACTCATACATCAAGTTAACGAGTCGGATAGTTCTACGGAATTTGGGGCGGACTCTATGAGCTATTAGCTCAGACTACTGTAGTTCTAAGGAACTACAAACACAATGTGCAAAGGGGGATACCGAAGCCTAAGGACTCTCTAACCCACGACAGTTCTACGGAACTGTCAAGCGCAACGTGCGAAAGGGTGGAAGTCTACGGACTTCCGCTCAAATGAGAACTGAGTTTATTTTAGATTTTATATCAAGGAAAAACCTACTTGAATACCCCATATTATACTAAACGAGAACGAATACAAATTTAAGTATTCGAACTAAATGGATGGTAAGCACATCACTCAGTCATCAAATGATGACGGTACAAAGTACTTCCACGGTAATTACTGTAGCTTGGAGAATACTGACTAATCGGTATTCCTTATTGATATAAAATATAAGGCCATACTTGTTTCCAATATTACAAACGGAAGGTCTACAACAGTTTAGCCAATGGCTAGTGTGACCCCGTTACATGCCGCTTAAAGGGATCAGGTGTGTTCTGACACAGGCTTCGACTCAGAAGGTCTGCTGCCTGTTCGAGGTTGTTCTCATACGCGGTAGGGGTGATGACGCTGCTCTAAAATAGAGCAGGTCGTTAACGGAAGTCACGCTAGTCACCTCCCATGTATCAAGGCGGATAAGTTGAAGCACTGCCAGCAGCACGGCATAGTACTTAGGCACCAAAACATCACGAAGATATTTTGACCCTCCGACGCTGTGGAGTTGCACCCCGCATAATTGCAAAGGATCTTCGTTTGAGTGGTGTGTAGCTTCGTGTTCAAGACGTAAAGAATATCATATAAAGTACAAACAGAAGCTTAGACACGAAAGAACAACAATCTAGACCATGTTTCCACATCTCTGGGATAAAGAAATTATCTCGAAAGCGAAGGTTAATGATAAAACTTACCGACTCACCCACCTATTTCTTCTAGCTAACAGCTTGCGCTGCTCTGACACGCATATACGGAAGTCTGCCGTTCATGGACTGTAGTTTCAAGCTAAATTAGCACAACATGCCCGTTCTGAACATTTACAGCGTCTTGGGGAGCGATGAGACGTTTTTTATCGCTTGCTTTTCAACGGAATGAAGAGATGTGCGATAACCACTGCGAATTGACTTAGACACCTCGAATTCTGCTAGAAATTTCCCACCGCGTGGTCGTCATCGACCATGAAAACTCTTTAATTCAGACATAATAATACGAGTGGTCCAGAACAGCTGCTTAGTGCTGGTACGTCAGTAAGAACACGTCAGCTCATTGTAAACAAAGTGTCCTGGTCGATGAATAAACATCTTTGATGTAAGTGTCAGGGTGAAGGGAATTTCGAAACTTAATGTTTATAGGTTCTAACCATGATCTTTGTTTGGGTAACCTATTCTAACGGTATCGGCTATCCTATGTTAAATATTAAAATGCATATCAATCCTTTTGGATGCGCAAACAATTTACCCCGGTTTTAGTTAGTATAGAGTCTATAAATTTAAACATAATGAATGACCTTCAATCAAATGACTGGTCATAAATCTGTCCAAAATAAGTGGTCCTGGCAGAAAGGGTGGTGGGCTTAGTAAACAACCGAAATTAATAAAACAGAGTATGAAATCCAATGCGCATGGCATCGTTTCAAAAACGAGTATGTAGATTCAATTTCTACGGATAAACCAAAGCTCACTGCAGATGCATCGACAGCGATTGCGAAGGAGACACTTGCATGGATGACGAAGGCATCTAACGCCATGTTACAAAACACGACTCGTAATGGATATCGTTATTACAAATATTACAAAAGACTAGGGCAGCAATTGCGGCTGCTGTGTGGTGAAGTCGATCTCACAAAATTGCTTGTATGAGTGTCGATCTTCCGCTTGCCCAGACTTGTCGACTCACGGAGGGGGTACTCCGATCCGTGCCTTGTTGTATGACCTTGTGCTCACCTTGTGTACCCGTCGGTTGGGCTGGCTTGAGCTCTTCGTAACGGCCTTGGGAGATGTCGATCTCGCTGAGAGGTTGGGTTGAGGGTTCGCTTCCGGTGCGGAAATCTTCACACCACGAACGGGGTTCTGCGATCCCGATCTTGGATCGCACCGATCTTGATTTGTCCTCGAGATCGGGGTCTTTGCTGTGCGGAAATCTTCACTCAGCAAATAAAAGTCTTGCGTCAATCTTGCCTTGGGATCGGTCCGATCTGGTCTTGGGATCGGCCGATCTTGCCGGAAGTGCGCAATTTGGGTAGATCTGTGTCTTGTTTCGCCAAAATGAAGCGTGCCGATCTGTCCAGGGGATCGCTTCGATCCTGCTCGGTCTTGTCTTGAACGCCTTGTCCAGATCTTCTGACCACTTGAGCCGTCTCGCGATCCTGTGTCCAAAATCCTTTTCCTTTTCCGTTGTGTGCTGCTACCCTAGCAGTTGAGTTGAGTGTGAGTACTTGATCGATCCGGGCCAGATATCCCGGGATCGCTCTTCTCGATCTTGGCCAACAATCCAAGATCGGTCTTCTGTGTCCCTGTAACACGCGTGCCTTAACCCGCCGGGGAAGCCAAATCAATCTTGCCTGGAGAAGAGGGGAGGATTACGTGCGTCGTGAGCAGAAGAAGTAGAGTTCAAGTCTGTTTATTAACCAACCAAATTACTATCCAACCTACCCTTAAGCCTATTCTTAACTATAGGTCACTCTTCAAACCGATATCGCCTTGAATCTGGATCGCCCCCTTGCCACGTGTCGAAATTTCGTGCCCTGTACTCCAATGATAGCGCCAATATTCCCGATACCGTACCTGAACGCCAAAAGAGGACCAAATCCCAAATGGGGTACCAAATACCCATTTTTGGTACCCAAAAGCCCAAAATAGTGCCCAAATGCCGAAGGCGTCTAAATCCATTTTGCGACGTCAATTTAACCGGCTTCCACTGGCTCTTTCGATCTGAACTTTTGAGACATCACTCATGGACCTTCAACAAGCATGTTTGTCATGATCCAAAATTCTCATCAACGATACATCCATAATCAGTGGGGATCATGACCGATCTGATGCCCAATTCGAGATTGTTGAGGATCGACACAGTACAATCCGGCCATATATGTTCTTCCGTTCATTGTGTGCACTCCGATGCTTTATCAAAATGATTCTGCTTCAACATCCACATCCTTGCCTCTGATCAGCCTTCAGAGTGGTCGTTCGGTTCAATCCAGTCCCTCATCCCAGATCGCACCGTGGAAATCACCCCTTGCTACGCCCCGTCTCAAACCACGTCGCATCGCCTGGTCCCGGGCGTACTTTTCTCAAATGATTCTGCTTCAACATCCACATCCTTTCCTTTGATCAGCCTTTAGAGTGGTCGTTCGGTTCAATCCAGTCCCTCGTCCCAGATCGCACCGTTGGAATCACCCCTTTCTACGCCCCGTCTCAAATCACGTTGCATCGCCTGGTCCTAGGCGTACCTCTTCCGCCAGTGGGTGACATCTTAACTGGGTGGAAACCGATCCACGTCCCATCATTTGATTAGTGACTTTACCACAGTTACACCTTCGTCGCAGAGTCATATCCCATCACCCGGTCCCAGATCCTTGTCCCAGATTGTTCCATGTAAATCGTTCCAGATCGCTCCGTCCCAGGTCGATCCATACCCATTAGTCTAACGACAGTTGGATCGGTTCGCCGATCCCGTTAAGATCATCTTCCACCTCCGTATTGGATCGCCGAGTCTGATGGCCTCCTTTTCCACCAGTAAGCGGCGCTTTAAAGATGTGGCCACCGATCCTCGTACAAAATTTTAGTAGTGACTTTGCCACAACCGCCCCCTGTACTGAAGTCTTTTGTACAGCAATCGACCTCAGTACAGTCACTCATCAACTTCGTTCCAAGCACTCAAGTCCGTCTCATGGTCTCTCCGACGCATCCACCCACCTCGCCGATCTCTTCAGAAGGATCCACCATGTTTCTGTCTCCGGATCGCGACCTGTCGCCCGGATCGCCCGATCTCGGAGGACACACCCCAGCGGTCCCCGATCGGCCTGGGTCTCCGCGCCATCTAGATCATCCCGGATCGCAGATCCCTCGTCTGCAGGACAAGTTAAAACCTGCTCCATCGTCTTAGTCCAAGGTCGATATCCAAGCCCGATCGTCTTTCATAATCGTGTAAGTCATTCAATCGTCTTCTTTTTGGTACTTCAATTCTTTGCAGCTTCCACGATCTCGATCCTCATCGCTCCACATCATTCAGGAAGGTAATTCACTTGACTATCTCCATACTCACATACAAAAACCTCATCCACCAGCATGTGCTACCGTCTAGCACATCTTTCAACCCCTACATCCGCATATGCTACCTCCCGCATACTTGTTCGAACTGTTAAGGTTCGTCCGACTTGCCTTCATGAGACTGCATTACGTCGAAACGGTTTCGACTCACTCGGTTCCGCTCAAACTCTTGCAAGATCGCCCCAAAACTTAGATCGGCCTCGTCCACCCAACTTAGATCGGGATATCCCTTCCAATTCACCAGAAACTGCCGGTGTACTCGCCCATAACGGGTTTTTCTACCAGATCGCACGTCCAATATTGCCTCTACTTCGTATTCCCCTTCTTCAAGATCGCCATCCCAACTGTCTTCTGGCAGCAGAGCTTCATCGAAATCCAAGCGATCTGATTCCTCTATCGTAAGCTGATCCTTCGGGCGTTCAGGGAACGTCTTTACCTTTTTTAGCTTCGATATATGTACAATCGGAAATAACCGATATGGGGTTCCAGCGATCTCCAATTTTACAGCATGATCTCCACATACGTCCGCAACTCGGAATGGCCCATGCCACATGTGCGCTAGCTTCTTCGCATATCCCTCTTTAACTCGGTCCAGGTATAGCCAAACTTGCGCTCCTACTTCGATCTCGTGTGGTTCCAGATCTTCGTTGTGTCGATCTGCTCGCTCCTGGATTGCGGCTTGTAAACGATCGTTCACTGCAGATCGGGCTCGCTGGTATTGTCTTTGGATTTTGTATCTCCACCTCTTTGGATCGCGATCTCGTGTCCCCGTATTCCCCACTGGTAGCGTAGCCTCCAAAGTCGATCGCGGGTCCCACCCATGAATCAGATAAAACGGGGTATCCCCCCGGATCCGATCTTGTGCAGTGTTAATGGCAAATGTGAGCCGCTCAGCATACTCATCCCAGTCTCGCTGGTCAACTTCAGCCACGTACATCTTGAGCGAATGTGTCAGGGTTTGCACCATTCGTTCGGCTGTTCCATTTGCTTGTGGCCTGTAAGCCATAGTAGCACGCTGTTTTTGTCCTACGATCCGACTGAAGGCTCGAAAGAAGTCGGACATAAATCCCGGTTCTCAATCGTGCCTGATAGCCTCGCTAGCTCCGAAGCGTCGAAACACACATTCTTCGTAATTCTCCGCTATTGTTTGTGCCGTCCGAGAGGAGCTAGCCTTTGCAATCACATATCCCGAGAAAAGGTCGACCCAAATGAGCAGTTCGGTGTTCCCTTTAATGGACTTGGGCAACGACGGTATATGATCCATGGCGATGATCTGGAATGGATAGGTTGCGTGTAGATTGCCCGGGGATTTCCCATGAATCATCGGGTTTCCTTTCCCGGTCTCACAGTCGGTACATTTGCCCACATATCGTTGAACGCTCCGATACAGTCCTCTCCAATGAAATCGCGATCTGATCCTCTGATAGGTTCGGCCAATACCCTGATGGCCTCCTTCCAGACTCGTGTGATAGTGATGCAAAAAATCCTGCTGCAACGTCTCAGGGATCACCAACCGCATCAAACCATCGCGATCTTCCGACTCTCTTTTCGCCATGGGGCAAAAAAATAGCAGATTGTTCTCATCGATCTCGTATTCCGGCGCCAGTTTGGCGCACATCTTCACTTCTACCGCATCCAAGTTTAATACATCGCCACTTAGATATGTCTTGAGATTGACAATCCAACGCTCTTCATCTTGAGCTTGGACAATTCGTTGAATCCTGATCCTCTGTACTATCTCCTCCTGTATCACTTCAGGTTCATGACGTATCCTCCTGGCTGATCTCGCGATCGCAGTTACCCGAGCTAGCTGACCATCTTGCTTGGGCTTCAACAACTCATCGAGACGGTTCATAGTCATCAGATTTTGCCGATCCTCTTCAGCTACAACCGTTCTTCCCTTTTCGCTCTGCAATGCTGTGCTGGCTAGTCGATCTGCGCTCTGATTCCACTCTCGCTTCATATGCAGAAACTCGTGACTAGGCCATGACTGCAGCTTCTCCAACGCTTTGTGTCTCAGAAGCTGAAGGCCCGGTGCCTTGCAGTCGATCTCACCGCGCATCTGTCGAATCACCAGACTGGAATCTCCACACAGTATTACTCGCCCCCTATCCAGATCGGCGAGTAACTAAAAGCACAGTAGCAAGCCATTATACTCAGCTTCATTCACAGTCAGATCGTGAACATATCTCGATTCGGCCGCCACGATCGTCCATTCGGGTAACTTCCATATCACGGCACTGAACGACCCTCCTTTCTTTTTTATCCTAGCCGATCCATCGAAACTGGCCACCAGCAACTCCTCATCTGTTTCCACCGTTGGAGGAGGCATCGATATTTTGAGTCGACAGTCTTTTCGTGGGGAGATCGCAATCAGCATCTCTTCCACTTCTCCTCTCGGAGTGATACTCGCTGCTAACATGCCCAGGATCTCTTCCTCTCCTCTTTCACATTTCTTCACCTCCATAGTCCAATTTGACAACAAAGCAGCCCACCGTCCAAATCTCCCGTTGAGCCCTCGAGACTGCATCAACCAGGCTAACGTAGAATGTCGGGTCAGTACAGTGATCTCCCGCGAGACAAGCGTAGTATAGCATACATCCAACACACGAAGTAGCGCCAGCACTTCTTTTTCTACCGTTCCGTAGTTAAGCTCATTAGGCTTTAAAGTGCGACTAGTAAACGTCACCGGATGGTACACGCCATCGTACTCCTGTATCAGGGCCGCTGAGACAGCCCACTTGCTAGCGTAGACCACGATTACGGAGGGCCGATCTGAGTCGAAATGCTTGAGCATGGGAGCTGTAGCTATCTTAGCTTTTAGCGTAGTGAAAGCAACCTTGGCTTCCGTCCATCGACCCTCGTTGGAGCATTCGTCTCCTGCTGCAAGCTGAGATCGGCCGATCTCGAAGAAATCCGATTCTCTTAACTCATACAACACCGCGGCATACACCGCGAAATCCTCAATGAAGCGACGGTAGTAGTTCAAGCTCCCGAGAAAGGATTGCATAGATCGTAGCGTGCTAGGAAACGGGATGTTAACCAACGACTCTAGGTTCTTGGGCTGAGCCTCCAGACCATCCATCGACACTCGATGTCCCAAATAATCGACCTTACGGCACCCCCAAAAGCTCTTCGTGAGGCTGATAGACAGATTCCACTTATCACATGCCTCCAGCAACCGTTCTACTTTTGTGTACAAAGATCCCCATGACGTGGCTGGTATGAGAATATCGTCAATGTAAGATCGGCGTCCCAGTATAGACGGTCGTCGATCTGTCTCAGGTTCTCCATCTTTGAACACGTCGATCGGGCCATCAGAAGCTGATCTCTGGCCGATCTTGAGATATCCATACAACGCATTGTCCACCAGACGTTGGTAGATCTGATGCGCGTTCTTAAGCCCAAAAGGCATTCGCAGCCACTCGAACAAGCCAAACGGTGTGACAAACGCTGAGATCAGTTTTGCTCGTTCAGTCATTTCGACGACCCAAAATCCACTAGCCATGTCTAGCGAACAGTACCATAGAGCTTTATCCAGATCTTCCAACAGATCGCTGATCAACGGCATGGGATAAACCATCAGACGCGTCAGCTGGTTAACTCTTCGATAATCAATGCAAAGGCGAATATCCACTCCGTTCTTCTTGATGATCACCACTATCGGAGACGCCCAAGGTGACGTGGATGGCTGAACGATTTTGGCTGCTAATAGTCCTTTGATGAGATCTGACAGCTTCTCCCGATATTTGGGTGCGACCGGACGCACTCTTTGCGCTATCGGTGCTGCCCCCACCGACATCAATATCACAGATCGCGCCTCGTGCTGCTGGTGGTAGAGCATTACCTTTACCCATGAGGAGGTGACGGCTCTTCCAGATCAGCGATCTGAGCCGTTGTTGATCTGTGGTGAGAGGCACATCGGGATCACCGATCTGAATGTCCTCAATCGTAACTTCTTCCGTAGTCGCCGACATCTCTGGTAGCACGGCCATATGCTGCTCGATATCTTCCGCAAACAAATCTCCGCTCTCGTGGTGATAAACTGGTATTTCTGCAATCTCGACGTCTTCAGTATTTAGCATTATTTCTTCTTTAGGCTCCTTCGTCTCTTCCGGCTGGCCCAATTTCAACAGTCGGTCAGTCGGCTCAGCCTTCGGTAGAGACGATCTGTCACGTAGCCCTTCTTGCCCGGTGTCGCGGTCTCCCTTCGTTGCATGTTGGGTACCGATCTCATGACCGTTCTCCATCCGCGATAGTTCGGCTCCCCTGACCGTTACTTCCCTCGCAACTACAGCATCTGCCTTTTGCGAATCGTCATCGTTAGCTTGCGGCGTTACCGTGGAGATCGCCGGAGACAGGTTCTGTAACGCATCAGACGGACGTTTCAAGATGCGTTTGGGAGCGGCATACGTAGGACGATCTACCAATGGTCCGATCGGTTCTTTCGGGAGTTCGTTCACTCGATCCGTCGTAGCCTCATATGCCAGAGTTTGCCATTCCTTGTACTTCCCCGACCCGACTGTCACCAAACCTTGGGTTCGCGGTACCATATCGCCTTCGACCCACATGCCTAATATAGTGTGGGTGGGCAGTATGATCTCACGGTCGCCAATGTTGGTCATCTGCAAATATTTCGTCTTACCCCACCCCGAGATCACAATGGGGACCCAATCTAGTCCTCTAGCGACCCACAACTTCATCTTAGCCCCTCCGATCCCGATCTTCACTTCCCTTGACTCTCCGACCGGGATCACCACGTGTTGGTCCTTCGCCGTTATATGTTGTATCTTCGATCCGTACGCGGGGCGACGTCCTGCGAGATGAATGCGGATT